TTATCCATGAACCTGTCAATGATACTGTTGTCTATATCTTAGTTATTATAAATAAAATGTGGAAAGCTATAATGAACATGGGGGTGCAGATATCACTCTGTTGGAGGTAGTGATTTTATTTCCTACAGATACGTACTCAAATTTAGGATCATTGCATCATATGGTAGTTCTGTTTTCAATTTTTTTGAGAAATCTTCATAATGGCTGTACTAATTTACATTCTCACCAAAAGATTTCCATTTTATCTATAACCTTGCCAAAACTTGTAGTCTCTTGTGCTTTTCATAATACATATTCTAACAGATGTGAAGCAGCATCTCATTGTGATTTTGATTTATATCCCCTTGATGATAAGTGACATTGAACAACATTTCATGGGCCTGTTTGTCATTTGAATATTTTCTTTGGAAAAGTATTCAGTTATCTGCCCATTTTTAAATTAAATTTGTTTTTATTCTTTATATAATTGAATATTAAATACATGTATTATGTACAATCTACAAATATTTTCTCCCATTCAGTTGGCTGTTTTTTTCATTTTGTTGATATTCTCCCTACTGTGCAGGGCTTTTTAGTCTGATGTAGTCCAAGTTATTTATTTTTGCTTTTATTGACTTTGCTTTAGGTACCAAGTCCAAAAATTATTGCCACAACTAATCTCAAGGAGCTTACTCCCTATGTTTTCTTTGCAGAGTTTTATACTTTCAGGTCTTAATATTTAAGTCTTTAATTTCTTGAGTTGATATCTGTGTGTTGCATAAGATAGTAGTCTAGTTACATTTCTTTTTTGCCTGTAACTGTTAATTTCCCCCAATATTTACTGAACTATACTTTCCACATTATATATCCTTACTATTTATTTGTAAATTAATTGACCATATATGCTTGGGCTTAATTTTGAGCTCTCTATTCTGCTCCATAGATCTATGTGTCTGCTTTCATGTCAATACCATACTGTTTTGACTACTATAGCTTTGAATTATACAATTTAAAAGTTTGAAATTAAGAGTATGATTTTCCAGTGGTCTTTATGTTTTTCTTTTTATTTCTGTCACTATAGTAACTTTTGACTTTGACTGACATGAGAGAAAGTGTGTGTGTGTGTGTGTGTGTGTGTGTGTGTGTGGTTTTAAAATTATCTACTTTCAATCTTCTGTAGACCCTTTTGATCACAGATTTAAGTTTCTTTTCTTGTGGAATATTGTCGCCATGATATCCTACAATATTATCTGACATATATTATCTGAATTCTCCTTTATGGAATATTTATTACATTTGAACTCTTCATTCTATTCAAGTATGACTCTTACTTTTCCTTCGTATTCTTAAGCTGTTCTGTGTGTATGATTTTAAGAAATCCCCTGTTATATATTCTAATTCACTTTGAATTGTGATTAATATATTTAACTATTATATATAATCATATATCTCTAATAATAATTATCAGTATTATTTATCACTTAAATTTCAGTAAGTTATTATTTCTAAGATTTCAACTTTGTTCCCTTTTTATAACTGCTTGTTCTTTTCCAAACTACCTTTATACCACATATATTTATACCAAATATATGTATATTTATTTGGAAATCTGAAGAGACCATTATAGGCAAGGAAATTGAAATAGTAACCAAGAGTCTTGCAAACATGAAAAGACCAGCATCAAATGACTTCACTAATGCATTTCATTAATTTTTTCCAAGAAGTTTTAAGAGCTATCTTTTTCAAACACTAAAAAAAAAAAATTGAAGAGGAGGGAATGCTTCTAGGCACATTTTATGAAGTCAATATTATCTTGGTATTAAAAAATAGAAAAAGAAAGGGGCCTCCCTGGTGGCTTAGGGGTTAAGTATCAGTGCTAGCACTAAGATGGCCTGAATTCACTCCCTGGTTGGGGATAACCCACATATGGTGCAGCAGACCTCTCCTGTCTTGCCCGCTGTTCCCCTCCGCAGTGTATTTAAGTTGATATCCCTGTGCTACTCCCCACTGTGTCTCTGGTGAATCATCTCACCACCCCACACCTCTGGCCTACACCCCAGTTCTTCTAAACAAAAATAAGTAAAATCTTTAAAAAATAGAAAAAAGTTTTTTTTTTTTTAATTTATTTATTTATACAAGCACGGGGTACAGTCAGAAGCGCGGGAGGGTGAGAGAATTCACCAGAGCCAGAGCGGGGAGCAGAGCAGGCAGAAGGACCGAAGTACACTGCTGAGGGGAGCAGCGGGTGGCAGGAGAGGTCTGCGCACCATGTGGGACCCTCCTCCGGTGGCCGGGGAGCAGCCGGGGTTCGAACCAGCGCCGCAGAGGCCGCGGGCAGCTTCTCAACCCAGCGCTCAACCGCTGCGCCATCCGGGAGGCCCCCAAAAATAGAAAAAGTTACCAGGAATAATAATATAGGACAATCATTCTAACGAGCACAGAGCAAATTCCTCTACAAGATACTAGCAAACTGAATTCAACAGTATTTTAAAGGATCATATACCAGGGCCAAGTGGAATTTATTCCATGGATGCAAGTATAATTCAATAAATGCAAGTCAAGTAATTTAATATACCACATAAACAACATCTATTAACAATTCAAAAGATGTGGAAAATCATTTGACATATTCCACATCCATTTATGATAAATCTCTCAATAAAATGAGAATAAAAGAAATGTAGCTCAACTGAATAAAAACCATGAATGAAAAATTAACAGGTTACATTATATTCAGTTCTGAAAAACTGAAAAAAAATTTCTCTGAAATCAGGAACAAGACAAGGATGTTCTCTTTTACCAAATAATTCAACATAATATTGGAAGTCCGAGGGCCTCCCTGGTGATGCAGGCGGTTGAGTGCCGCACTGTGAAGCTGTCCACAGCTTCTACAGCACGAGTTCAATCCCAGCTGGCCTGGAAGAAACCCACATGGCGCAGCAGACCTCTCCTGTCTTGCCTGCTGCTCCCCTCAGCAGTGTATTTCATCAGTCTGTCTGTTTTGTTCCCCCCTCTGTCTCTAGTGAATCTTCTCACCCTCCCCCACATCTGGCCTGTACCCCAGTTCTTGTATAAATAAATAAATCTTAAAAAAAAATTAAAAAGAAATATTGGAAGTCCCAGCCAGGGCAATTAGGCAAGAAAGGGAAATAAGGTTTATCCAAATAGGAAAGAAAGAAATTAACTATCACTATTTGCAGATGACACATGTAAAGCTGTAAAGACTCCACTAAAATCTGTTAGAGGCAATAAATCAGTATAGTAAAGTGGCAGGATACAAATTAAATACATAAAAATTTCTGCAGGCTATCAGAAAAATGCAAACAACTACATGTAAGCAACTGATGACCAGAAGGAGAAGTAGAAAAAAGAATCCCATTAATGTACCAGAAAGAATTACACACCTAGAAATAAATTTAACAAAGGTGGTGAAAGATCTGTACATTGAATATTATATTATTAAAAGAAGAGGGAGAAGAAACAAAATTAAAGGAAAGAGATGACATGCTCATGGATTGAAAGAACAAACATTGCTAAAATGTCCATCTTAAAAACATGACCATCTTATCCAAAACAATATATGGATTCAGTTCACTTCCTATCACAAAGCCAATTCATTTTTTACAGAACTAAAAGTATTATACAAAATTGAAAAGGAGGGGAAAAATTGAAGAAAAAGTAGCAATAACCTCCCTTTTCTCTCACTAGCTTACTGAGGTGGGACTAATCCCAGGAAATGTTGCTCAAATCTAGAACAGAATGGGAAGGAATTCCTGGAGCTTGAAATGCACAGATGCACAAATGGTCTAAGTAGTTCATCTATCTCAAACATCACCTTTCTTCTATGCCTTCAAACAACTGTAATGGGAAGATTCAAGGAAATCTTCAGCTGTGAGTAGTTGACTAGGGAATGATGTTGTGGTAGAAGAAGGCACAGTATTTTTCTGTAAGAAACTGAGGTCTTGGGCTTCCCCTGGTGGCACAAGGGCCTAAGCACAGCACTGTGAGGCTGTGCAGCCTCTGCAGCACAAGTTTGATACCTGCCCTGCCAGGGAGCTGCCCTCATGGCACAGAGGACCTCCCCTGTCTCACCGGCTGCAGCCCCCAGCAGTGTATTTCAGTCAGTCTGCCTGTTCTGTTCCCCACTCTGTCGCTGGTGGATCCTCTCACCCTCTGCATCCCTGGCCTGTATCCTGGTTCTTGTATGCACAAATAAATAAATGTTAAAAAAAAAGAAACTCAGGTTTTTATTATTTTTTAAAAAATTATTTTTTATTCATGCATACCAGAACCGGGGTACAGGCCAGATAAACGGGAGGGTGAGAGGATTCACCAGAGACAGAGCAGGGGACAGAAGAGGCAGACTGACTGAAATACACTGCTGAGGGGAGCAGCGGGCGAGCCAGGAGAGGTCTGCTGCGCCATGTGGGACTCTTGCTGACCAGCCGGGATCAAACTCATGCTGCAGAGGCTGTGGACAGCTTCTCAGCGCTGCACTCAACTGCCTGTGCCACCAGAGGAGGCCCAGAAACTGAGGTTATTAATAAGAGAACTTTTTACAAAAATCGGGGTTGTCTGTGAGAAAGGATATGACAACTTATTCCATAGTTGAATGCCTGTTTAGAGGTTTGCTAATCTGCTTTGTGGCTTAATTTCATTTGAGAAATCCCACAGGAAACTGGGATTACATGAAATTTATTTGTAAACTAGGTATGAGAATCAGATTTGAATTATGGAAAACTAGGACATAGTGTAAAATGTGGTTTCCTGAATTCTGTATTAAAATCACTATTATCATTACTTGATCTGGTTTAAATACTGAATTACTATTGAGGTCTGTTTCCTGGGAAACTGAGTTAAGAACAGAAATAAAGGAAAATCCTTCAATTACTAATCTGAACACTTTGTGTAATGCAGATATAAATGACTATGTGAGTCTCACTCTTTTGTCTACTAGAAATAGAAGCCTCTTGGTTCAGAAAAAGTCTCACATATGACAAATCGAGAAGTAAAGAACTTACTTGATGTTCTCTGTGAAATCACTGAAGAATAAGCAGAAAGAAATTCATGTATTTTTTTCTTAAGTAGAAAAAACACAATATATTACCTAACATATTCTGCTGGTTTCTATGAGGGCAGGATTAGGCGGGCATAAGAAAGAAAGCATCCCAAACTACCCTGTACAAATTACACCTGTAGAGTAGGTGCAATACAAACTTAGATGTTAGGTGAAGGAGTGATGTGTTATGATGAAGTCAAAGGCAGGGTTTTCTGAAAGACCTTCTTCATTATTGGACCTGAATAACTTTAGGTAAATTCCCAAATAATAGCCACTGGAACTTTTAGTTTCCTTTAAATAGCATCATGATCTTTGAGAGAATACTCAGGTTCTTTCTCCATTTAAACATCCATTAAATATTTTGGGCTTTTTCTCTCATTCTCACAACCCCCAAACCCAATCAACATTCTGCCTACCTCAATTCTTATACTGCATCATTCAGGTTTTTGGGGGTTGTTATTTACAAATACTAGCTTATCTTTTCCTTTAATACCAATTTCTGAAATTATCTACAGTGTACAGGAATCTGGATAATAAGGAAACGAGAGTAGTGAGAGATTCAAATTACATTAATGGAGCAAAGTCCCCTAGACCTTGAAGACCAAAGTGAACCAAAGTAGAGACACAGATGCAATACTTACTTATGGGTGCCAGGGGCAGACCTAAAAAAAAAAATTAGATACCAATGAATATTTATCTGAATGGAATGATATTGCTTCTATGGATGCCTATCTGAGTCTCCAGGTGTTACAGGGAACAACAACAATAAATGCAGATAACAATAGAAAAATAGACTGAACTTACCACCAGGCATTGAAGGTGGAGCAGCTGAAAGACAAGCAGAAGTATCTGTGCAACCATTTTCTCTCCCACTATGTTTTCTACTTAGTGAATTCCTCAGGACAGGCCATTATAACAATGAGGAAGAATGCTCCCTTTGGCCTTTATTTACTTTTAAAGTAAATCACCAGGATTTGAATTTTCCAACAAAATCATTAATAACACTGGAATTTTGACCATGGGAGGAAATTGGTGAAGGAAGTGTGCACCCCCGTCCTCAGAACCCAGCACTGCCAGGGGAGGGAGGGGTTACAGGGCCCCACAGTGGAAGAAATAGACTTACTGAGGGCATGTGGAGTTGGTCTTGCTAGAAAATAGAACAGAGAGAATTGTTACATCCTTTTCTTCCCCAATTAACTTGTTTTTTTTTCAATTTGTGAAGTTCCATGTGAAATATCATTTTTAACTGATGAAAAAATTTCCCCTTTCTTTTTTTATATAAATCAGTGAAATTTGATTTGTCCATAAAATTATTAAAAAGTTCGGTTTACTACTGGATATGTCAAACACGATATCAAGGAAACAGGATTACTAAGCCCTTAAAATCCCTATATGATCAAGGAAGTGTTTCTCAGATTTCTTGGTATTCAAATGTGGAAAAACAACAGGGTAGGGCAGGAAGTCCAAATGGAAAACTGTTTTAAAAAGTATTTGTCCCTAACTCCCCCTCTTCATTTTTCCATTTTCTGTAGACAGTCTCTTTTAATGGATTTCTTTAATTAAAGCACCCATATAGTTCTTATTACATAGGAGATAGAGTAAATACATTCATTGTATTTTTGTATATCAGTAGCTTAGAACTTTCTAGTACATTTATAATTCATAGGTATTTTGATAATGAGATAGCAGGAGGCCAAGATGTACCTCAACTCTTTTAAAATTAAACCTGGTAAGATAAAGTCTCTTAAACCCCGCTAGAAATCAATTGATCCCTGTGGCAGAGAATTAAATGAACACTCAGACTTACTGATTGGTTGATGAGTTGACTCCACTGAAAAACAAGCAAGAAAAATTGCTTATTTGTCCTTTCTTATTTACTTGCCTATTCATTTTTTTTTCCTATTGGTAAATTTCCTAGTTATATAATTACAGCTTTTTTTTTTTTTTAAGGTAGATGCATTTGAGATTTCTAGAAAATTTTTAAGCAGCTGGTAGTATGTTATGGAGAAGCAAAAGGCTAAGAAAACAAGTTTTCTGTTCCCCTATTGGTACTCAAATTCCAATAGATACCACTGGACTTCAACAGGGGTGCAGCAGAGAAACAATTTATTAATTGCTTGCATAGATGATCCAGCCAGAAAACAGAAATATTAACTATAGATTTTTTTCTCCCATTCACTTTTCCCCTTCTGTATGAAAAGCTCCTTATTGGCAATAAGGACCATGGACAAACTTTTTTCTCTGCTTTTTAATTTATGTGAATCATGAATATTTTAGAAACTTCTTAATAACCTAGTGGAATTCTCAGTAGTGGAAAAACAAGGGGTCAAAGAAACAGGAACTTTGACTATTGCAATCCCAATATAGAGGGATAAATCTTGGTTTTTGATTTGTTACTATATTGTGAAGAAACAAACAAGGACATGAAATAATGATATGACAATATAAAAATAAAAACAAACAAAAAAAATAAAAGAATATCGTTAGACATTGCTGGAGAAAATTTTGTCCCATCATGAAGGGAAATAGTCAAACTTACCAGAGGATCCTGCAGCTGTAAAAGAAAGAGAAATTAGTGTGGAAAGGCTGATGAAGAGGAACTAGTTTTCTGGTTTCTACTGAGAGGGGATATCAGGAATGGCAATGGAGGGGGAGCATCAAAGCCCTGTGCTGGGGAACACAGCTGCCATCAGGCCCTGGGGATTCTGTCTCCTGCTTGGTCTGGAAGGCTGTAGGTGGGGGGCTTAGTTATAGCTTCCATTTTGGCAGTGACAGGTAAGTGCTTAAAATCCTATAGCAGATTGGTAATTTAAACTGTCCTGCCTTCACTTGTCTTCTCCATGCAAGTTTTTATTCACTGATACAAGTATTCTCCCTCCCTTATTGACAAGTCACTATGAATATATAGTTTCTACTGATAATTTTAATATATATCATACATATTTAATATATTATGTATTATCTTGGATTTCTGAGTGGGGATTGCATTCTCACTTCATTCAGTTCTTAGAGTTAGGGTACAAGAATATATACCCAGAAGACAGAAACAAAGGACCCCAGACACTTAAAGAAGCTGAAGTCAACTGTTCTATAAGAATAGGGGTAGAGGGCCTCCCTGGTGGTGCAAGGGGTTAAGAGGCAACCTATGAAGCTAGCCACTAGCCACAGCCACTGCAGCACAAGTTTGATTCCCAGCCAGGGAGCTACCCACATGGCGCAGCAGACCTCTCCTGATTTGCCCACTGCTCCCCTCAGCAGTGTGTTTCAGTCAATCTGCCTGTTCTGTTGCCCACTCTGTCTCTGGTGAATCCTCTCACTGCCCACATCTCTGGCCTGTACCCCAGTTCTTGTATGCATAAATAAATAAATCTTTAAAAAAAAGGACAAGGGTAGAACTTACTGGTCACTTCTGAGGTTTCATCTAGTGGAAAAATAGAAGGAAAAAAAGAGAAGTCAGAGTATGTAACTTTATGGAGGATACAGGGAGCTCTGAAACCTGCCTATTAACTCAGGGCAGTGTGTGGGCTTACGTACCCACTCTTGTACTTTGCACCCTGAAGTCTGGTCTGGGATAGAAAAATGGCCCTATGGTGGCTTCATTCATCCTTCCTGTTCCTTCAGGGAGGGTAAGTGCTTGAACCCTCCAAGGGTTCATAATGCCTTCACCTTGTTCTTCTGTCATTTTCACTTTCACTAACTTCACTTTCTCCCTGTCATTTTATTAAATTTGAAGTTTTCCTCCCACTCTTTTTATTTATTAGTCCCATTTGGAGTCACCCAATTTTGTTAGTTAAAAAATAATATATTTTTTACCTTTTTCCAGTTTAGTTTAGAGGGAAACAAGGATGGAATAAATGTAGCAATGTACTTTTCATTTATATATCAATATATATTTTAAGTGTTTACTCTAAGGGAGAGGAGTTAAGCAGGGGAGAAAAGACTGGAAAGGGAATGCCATTCCCACAGATCTCAGTCACAGGGTGGCTATTATGGGTCTTTGGACCACATGAGGCCTTTCCTCAGGCAATAGTGAGAAACTCTGAGATGAGCTGGCTTATGATTTTTTTCCTATAAGAATTGTGAGAACTTTGGGTCTCCCCTCGTGGTACAGGTGGTTGAGTGCCATGCTATGAAGCTGTCTGCAGCCTCTTCAGCGCCGGTTCGATCCCGGCCTGCAGGTGAGGGTCCCACATGGCACGCAGACCTCTCCTGTCGCACCTGCTGCTCTCCTCAGCAGTATATTTTGTCAGTTTGCCTGTTCTGTTCCCCGCTCTGTCTCTGGTGAATCCTCTCATCCTCCCGCAAATCTGGTCTGTACACCAGTTCTTGTGTAAAATAAATAAATAAATCTTTAAAAAAAAAAGAATTGTGAGAAGTTTAAAGGCTGTGGGTCTTGGTGAAAAATCAAGAGTGCTTAGAGAGGCTGATGATTTAGGGGAATAGATAGATAAATGCTGGGTCGTATTACTTTACAACGAGAAGCATATTTAGAACCAGCATCTGGGTCAGGCAGCATCTTGTTTTTGTGGTCATAATAAAATTGTGTGGCAACTACTTTCCACATTTTGAGATTTTTTTTTTCTAAAATATCTTCATATGATAGCAAACTCCATGGGAGTTTTATTCTATAATCATTGAATAAGCTCTATATAAATTACAAAACACTTCTGAACTAGAAAACTACCTTTGTTATTTTATCTGTTATTTTAGAAATTTCTATACTATTATGGAGGTTATTATGACTGTTACTGGGGGGATTTCCTACTAGTTTTATTTTAAAAAAAAGTGGAAAATTTGCAGCAGTGGAAAGTGGAAAAGAATGAAATCATGTCTGAAACCACTGTTCTTACAGCAATAAATATATTTAGAATTCAGAACAGACACTGTAGAAACTGTAGAAGATGAAAGAACACCAAAGGAAAAAAAATAGATAAGGCACTTACTACTACTGGGTCCAGTATATTGCACTACAAATAGAAACAAACTTAAATTATTGTGCTTGTTGGGCATGAAAAACACACGTACTATTGATATTTTCCATAGGATAGCAATAAAAATGATCCCCTAGGAATTACTAAATCCAATCCTCATGATTAAATATTTTTATTGTACTGCTGCTGGACTATAGCCTTGTAATATGAATCAGATCTTCTCCAGGAGACTTGTAAACCTGTTTTAGTTGGAAGGATAATCACCCCCAATGACTTTATTCTAGTATCTTATTGATAGATGTTTGAGGAAAACTTTTAATTTCATTCATTCCTTTCCCTACATTTCTCCCTACATTTCCCCCTTCATAACCCTTTCATTTCACATTTTCAGCCTTTGTTTAATTTTATTGCTCATTTCTTACATCTGGCCTCAGATTCATTTTATTGCATCTTTGTTTTGGAACATTCTCCTAAAGATTGTTGGTAAACCACTTTAACAACTCTTAGAAATATGTTATGCTATCTATTATGAATGTGAGTGATACATTAACATTTGTATAGGTAACTTACCAATAGGTCCTGGAGTTTGCACTAAAAAGAAATACAAATTGCTCTCTTAGTGTACAAATGAATAATACACTTTTCATTAATTTATTTCTAAGGGTGGGAATTTGAAAGATAAAGGAGAATATTGGTAATAAGATTATTATTTATTAGGAAGAATTAATTCAGTAATTTTAAATATTAAATACGGAACAAAAGGTATATTTAGCATATACTATCATATATTTAATATACTGAAATATCCTATATTCTATAATCCTCGCCAACCTAGGAGACATTAGAAAAAAGGTGAAACTGTTCTTTTAGTTCAGAAACAGTCCATTTTTCAAGGGACCATTTTTTTTTTTTTTTTTTTGTGGGACCCTCGTCCGGTGGCCACGGAACGAACCAGCCCAGCGCTCAACTGCTGCACCACCAGGGGAGGCCCTCAAGGGAGCATTCTTATACTAAAATATTTCTGATGTGATCTAGGAGTAGGCATTAAGCAGGAGACACGAATTCAATCTTCCGACAGCTTCCATCTTTATCGGGGACTGACAGAGTGAGGAATTTGCTTTCTTTAGCTAGACTGACCTAAGGGCAACAGGCCAACCTAACCTTCAGTTTTTAAGGAATCTGGCCTTCAGTTGATTTTCTAGCTGTGATCTTCTGGTGAACTGATTAAAATTCTAAAACTTCTAAATTAGTTTGCAACATTGATTTATATAACTGTATCTGAATTAGGAAAAGCCATAGCTCTGGGCTTCCCTGAATAAAGTGTCCATATGTTTAGGCACATTTTTTGCAGGGGGCTGTCCCTGCAGGTTGTGGTCCCTGCAGGTTGTGTATATGGAGTTCTTAAAAGAGATTTTAGCTTCTCGGTCTTCTAAGTGAGGGTAGCTCATGAACTTGGCTAATGTGAAGCCAAAGAGAATAATTTCTGGATGGCTCTGTAAGTGCCTGAGTGAAAGAAACACCAGGAGGATTACTCCACAGAAGAGGGGTGGCTGATGCAGGCTTGCTGGCAGTTGTGCTGCTGCCATAGATGTTCTGATAGGCAGGTGCCAGGAGAAGTCATGAAAATCATGTCAGTTTGCATTGTTAACTAAATCTAAAAAAGACCACCCTTCCTTCCAGTGGCCAAAACAGCATCTCTTTTCCACAACCCCTCACTTCATGGAATTCATGATGTGAAATGTCCCAGCTCTGACGCATAAATTCCAAACCTCTAACATGTACAGAAAAGCCAGACGGGGTTTTACCAATTCTGCATATTCTGGGCTTAAGCTATAGACAAGTTAGAAATCTAGGGATTTTGCAACTGTAACGTAATATTTGTTATGACTGTCTATCAAAAAGTACCCTTGATCTTAAACCTGTTCTCTTGTTATAAGCCAGTAAACACTTAGGCAGATATTTTCAAATTGTATTTTGTTTCTTCAATTTTCCTCCCTTTCCACTTTCGTTTTATTTCTTGTACTCTCTTCACTTTCCTCTTTCAGTTGTATTTACTCTGGGATGTTGTGTAAATCCAATAAAATAATGGAGAGAAAAAAAACTATAAGGTATAAGGAATCACTCAAAAATGTGATTATGTTACAGAATGTATCTCCATAAAAGGAGCAGGAGCATTGCAGGACAGTGAAATGGTGCCAAATTCCCACCCTCACTGGCATGCTGCCACCTTGGATTACAAGTCCCAATATGTCATGAACTGGACTTCCTGAGCATGGGAACAACTGGGAATTAGGGGTTAAGCAGTCACGCTTAGTATATGAATAAACTCATACAGGCTTGAGAAATCTTGCTTCTGTGGCCCTGCCTTGTACCCTAGCACAAGGGGATTTGGAAGAGACACATGGAGGAGAGACATGTAGAGACATTTGAAAGAGACACATGGGTGACAGACATGTGAGGAAGCTGACAGTGGCAGCCATTATCTTGATGGGGTATCTCTTTTTGTCCCAGCTCCTAAGACCTGCCTAACCCCTTTCTTGCTGTTTTCTACCAGTTGCCTTAGGCTGTGGCAAGCTTTTACACTTCAGTGAACCTGCTTTAGGTCAACCTTATTTGGCTAGGCCATTTGCCCATGAGGGGATGGATAATTTTCAGAGTTTTATTAGGAATATCCTTTTATCTCTTCTCTCCCTCTGTACACTGTATGCATGGATGGCTGGATACCTTTCAGAGTGTGTACTCTTTAACAGTTTGGGGTTTCTGGGTGCCCCTTGGTCAAATGATAACCATTAGGCATAAGACTCACATTCATTTTGTCATATGAATATAAAGACCTCAAACCATAGTCTTTTTTTTTTTTTTTTAAGATTTATTTATTCATTTATACAAGCACTGGGTACAGTCAGAAGTGCGGGAGGGTGAGAGAATTCACCAGAGCAGGGAGCAGAACAGGCAGACTGATGAAGTACACTGCTGAGGGGAGCAGCGGGTGGAAGGAGAGGTCTGCGTGCCATGTGGGACCCTCCTGGCAGCCGGGGATTGAACCAGCGCTGCAGAGGCTGGCAGCTTCGCACCCCAGCACTCAACCGCTGCGCCACCAGGGAGACCCCATATTTAGTCTTATAATTTAAAAAATGTTAAATTTTGTTAGGAATGCTATAATACAGTGTGTTAAACTATTTATTCTCACATAATTATCCACAGTTGCATTTTTGAACTTAACCTATACAATGTTTCTATGGAAAAATACAATAGTTGCTAAAAGTTGGGGAGAATAGAACCTACAGAGAACTTTTCAGAGCATAATTGAAAAAAAATTAAATTTGGATTGTTTTACAAAATAAAGGCAATGGTTCTCCCCTGTTGGCACAGGCAGTTGAGCGCATCACTGTGAAGCAGTCCGCAGCCTCTGTAGTGCCGGTTTGATCCTGGCTGGCCAGGAAGGGTCCCACATGGTGCGGCAGACCTTTCCTGTCTTGCCTGCTGCTCCCCTCAGCAGTGTATTTCAGCATTTCTGCCTGTTCTGTTCCCTGCTCTGTCTCTGGCGAATCCTCTCACCCTCCTGTGCATCTGGCCTGTACTCTGGTTCTTGTATAAATATTTTTTAAAAAAGGCAATCAAATAATGGGACATTATTTATATAGAAAGCAAGATGTTTAGGAGCTGTGTTCTAAATGTTTATTACATATTGGTTTCAAGAGCTAGATTATAAGGAGGGGGCGGAGCAACATGGCGGCGAGGAGACGCTGCGAGTAAGATCTCCCATTAAAAAAAGTTAATAGGGAGGAAAAGCGGCAGGTCCCAGTGAGAACTGGGACACGGAAGATAAACGGACGACTCCAGCAAACTGCCCGAAGAAGAAAGTTGCCATAAAAGAGGACGAGAAGGGAGGGAAGCGCAGAACCCTGCTCCCCTCCCCCGCCCACAGAGGCGGCACTCTCCGACCGGCAGAGACGAGGGAAACAACAAACCAAAACGCCCAACAAGAAAAAACGGACACAGCAAGCGGGACTGTGAGTGGAAAGGAACTATTTCAGCCACCACACCCCGTGAACAGGAGCTGAGGCGAACCCTGAAGGATCCGCTGCGGAGGTGAGCTCCAGGCGCCATTAAAGAGAGCCCCGCCCACCAGGAGGAGACCAGCACCAGCACACAGCCCCAGCCGCCCGGTAAGCTTGCGCGAAAGCGGCGCTCGGATTGCAGCTGCCCAGGGCCCTGCGCCTGCGACCTAGGCTTGCGGGGAGACGGCGGAGGCCCTCCCTGAGTGAGCAGGAACAAGGCGCCCAGGCAGGGGAGCGGGATTCAAAAGGCGCCATTCCCGCGCCACTGATCTGGGCTATAGCCCGTGTCCTGGAACTGAGGGCTTTGGAACTGAGACCCGGGCGGAGGCCCTCCCTGAGTGAGCAGGAACAAGGCGCCCAGGCAGGGGAGCGGGATTCAAAAGGCGCCATTCCCGCGCCACTGATCTGGGCTACAGCCCGCATCCTGGAACTGAGGGCTTTGGAACTGAGACCCGGGGCACGAAATTAGGGGCGTGGGTTCCCCACGACGGTGGGGCACAAGGCAGACACAGCACCCCAAAGCCGTTGAGGTGTACCCTACCATCCCCGCTCTGCTCCCTGTCCCACGGGGTGGAAAATCAGCTCCCCAAGGGCTCTAGGAGAGATCTCTGGTGCCACCTAGCGACTTGACCCCAGCACAGGCTACTGAAGGAGCTAGTGGCCAGCTGGGGAGTTAGCCCACACCGGGCCCCTTCTGAACAAGTAGTCTGAGCCCACAGGGAGAGCGAGCACCCACAGCCGGGGCAGACCAGGCGCGCAGAATAGTGTGCCTGAGACCAGAAGCGCAGGGAGTGTGTCCCACATCACCATTTTAGAACAGGGACATTTCTTCAGTAAAGACTACCTGCAGAAGGCTTCCTCAGGAGCCAGAGGTGAGCGGGGGAAGTTCGCCCACGCCAGACCCCCTCTGGCCTGCAGTCCAAGCCCAGAGGGGAGCAGGAACCCACCGCCAGGGCAGACCAGGCGCACAGGGGAGTGTGTCCCCACATCGGCATTTTAGAACAGGGACCTTTCTCCAGTAAAGGTTGCTTGAAACTGACAGATGACTCCTGGAAGAACCAGAGGGGAACAGAGAAGCCCACCCAAGATGCCGGCAAGTCCCAACAACACAGTGTCCCAACGCATACGGCAAATTAGAAAACAGACAGTAGGGAGGAGAAGAACCACACGCAACCTAGCAACTCTCCAGAGAAAAAGCACACCACAAAAAGAAAGCCAGCCCCCAGATTGCAACGACAATAACTTGGAAGAATTTCTGAGCCTTCCAGAAAGAGAATTTAAAATTGCCGTGATTAAAAAACTGACAGAAGTCATAAAGGAAAACAAAGATAAGGGAAAAATAATCAACGATCAGAAGAATGCAATTGAGTCCCTAGAGAGGGAAAACAATGGTCAGAAGAAAGAAATTGAGTCCCTAAAGAGGGAAGTAAAAGAAATGCAGGAGATCAAAGAATTAATGGAAGAACTAAAGAATTCTGGGAAAAGCAATGAAAGCAGAATAGATGAAATGGAAGAACGAATAAGTAATCTTGAAGACACAGAAATAAAAAGAACCAAAACAGAGAAGGAAAGAGAAGTACGAAGGAAAAAGAACGAAGAAAGACTTCGGGAACTATCTGACTCCATGAGGAAAGGAAATATAAGAGTTATAGGAATACCAGAAGGAGAGGAGAGAGATGTAGGAACAGAGAAAATATTCAAAGAGATAATTGAAGAGAACTTCCCAAATGTGAAGAAGGAGCTGAAAATTGATATACAAGAAGCAAGAAGAACACCAAACTTCCACGACGAAAGGAAAAATACAGCAAGACACATAATAGTAAAGCTCCCAAGAATCCAGGACAAGGAAAAAATAATGAAGCTGGCAAGAGGGAAGAAACAGAAACATTCAAAGGAAAACCAATCAGGCTGACATCAGACTTCTCCGAAGAAACACTACGGGCAAGGAGAGAGTGGAGGGACATAGTCAACAGACTCCAAGAAAACAGATGCCAACCAAGAATACTCTATCCCGCAAAGCTCTCCTTCCTCTTTGAAGAAAGAATATGGACCTTCCCAGACAAACAGAAACTCCGGAATTTCATTGCAACTAAACCCCCACTCCAAAAAATACTACAAGGAGTCCTAAAGCCAGAACCTCAGAGCGACGAATAACAATGAAAGAAGGCCAAAAAAAAAAAAAGTTATTAAAAGAATAAATAAATAAAATCAAAGGAAAGACAAACACAATGGCAAATACAGATGTTAACATATCAATATTAACTCTAAATGTAAATGGACTAAACTCTTCAATAAAAAGACACAGAGTTGCAGCCTGGATTAAGAAACAAAACCCAACCTTTTGCTGTCTCCAGGAAACACATTTAGCTACAAAAGATAAAAATAGGCTCAAAGTTAAAGGATGGAAAACAATCCTACAAGCAAATGGACCAAAAAAGAAAGCAGGAACAGCTATACTTATATCAGATAAAACAGATTTCAAACTCAAAAAGATAAAAAGAGACCCCAATGGTCACTACATTATGATCAAGGGGACAATACTTCAAGAAGAAATAACACTCATTAACATATACTCACCAAACGAAGGAGCACCAAAATATATCAGACAACTGTTGTCCTCTCTGAAAACAGACATCAGAGAAAACACATACGTAGTGGGAGACTTCAACACACCACTATCAACAATGGATAGATCAACAAGACAAAAAATAAGTAAAGAAACCAAAGCTCTAAATAAGGACCTAGAGCAATTGGGCTTAACAGACATCTATAGAACACTAAACCCCAAAAAAACGGAGTACACATTTTTCTCAAGCGCACACGGATCATTCTCCAGGATCGATCACATACTGGGGCACAAGACAAACATCAACAGATACACCAAGATTGAAATCATATCAACCATCTTTTCTGACCATGAAGGCATCAAACTAGAAATAAACCATAAAAAGAAGGCAAGGAACTTTCCTACCTCATGGAGATTAAAAACCACACTACTGGAAGACCATTGGACTAATGAGGAGATCAAAGAAGAAATTAAAAAATTTTTTGAATTGAACGACAAGGAGGACACCAATATCCTAAATGTATGGGATGCAGCAAAAGCAGTAATAAGAGGAAAATATATAGCAATAGAAGCTCACATCAAGAAACAAGAAGAACGCAAAGAAACAACCTAATCTCGAAGCTCAAAGATCTAAAAAAAGAACAACAAGAAAACCCCAAAACCAGTAGAAGAAAAGAAATAATAAAAACCAAAGCAGAAATAATGAAATTGAAACTAAAAAAACAATCCAAAAGATCAATGAAACCAAGAGCTGGTTCTTTGAAAAAATCAATAAAATAGACAAACCCCTAGCCAGGCTCACAAAGGAAAAAAGGGAGAAAGCACAAATAAACAGGATCATCAATGAAAGAGGAGAAATCACAACGGACACAGCAGAAATCAAAAGAATAATCAGTAACTACTATGAACAGTTATATGGAAACAAGTTTAACAATCTAGAGGAGATGGACAAATTCCTACAACTCTACAATCACCCAAAGCTAGATAAAGAAGAAATAGAACACCTAAACAGACCAATTACAATTAGCGAAATTGAAATGGTAATCAAAAACCTCCCCAAAAACAAAAGCCCAGGACCTGATGGATTTACAAATGAATTCTACCAAACATTCAGAGACGAATTAGTGCCTATCCTTCACAAACTCTTCCAAAAAATTGAGAAGGAAGGGACAATACCAAACACGTTCTATGAAGCCAACATTACACTAATACCAAAACCGAACAAGGACAACACAAAAAGGAAAACTACAGGCCAATCTCCCTAATGAACACTGATGCAAAAATCCTCAATAAAATTTTAGCTATCAGAATCCAACAATGTATCCATAAGATAATTCAGCACGACCAAGTTGGATTCATTCCAGGGGCACAAGGATGGTTTAACATCCGAAAATCAATCAACGTTATCCAACACATCAACAAAAAGAAATATAAAAACCATATGATAATATCAATAGATGCTGAGAAAGCTTTCGACAAAGTGCAACACCCATTCATGATAAAAGCCCTTGAAGTTCTTGGGATACAAGGAACATACCTCAACATCATAAAGGCCATCTATGACAAGCCAACAGCCAGTATCATTCTCAATGGTGAAAAGCTGAAAGCAATTCCATTAAGATCTGGAACAAGACAAGGATGTCCACTCTCACCATTGCTTTTCAATATAATACTGGAAGTCCTAGCCAGGGCAATAAGACAAGAGAAAGACATCCAAGGAATCCAAATAGGAAAAGAAGAAGTCAAACTATCACTATTTGCAGACGATATGATATTATACATAGAGAACCCCAAAAACTCCACAGAAAAGCTAATTCAACTCATCAATCAGTTCAGTAAAGTGGCAGGATACAAAATCAACACGCAAAAGTCAGTAGCCTTCCTATACACAAAAAATAAATCTGAAGAAGAAGAAATCAAAAAGACCATCCCTTTTGTTATTGAAACAAAAAAAATCAAATATTTGGGAATAAATCTAACAAAAGAGGTAAAGGACCTATACAAAGAAAACTATAAAACACTGTTAAAAGAAATAGAAGAAGACACAAAGAAATGGAAAGATATCCCCTGCTCATGGATTGGAAGAATAAACATTATTAAAATGGCCATCCTTCCAAAAGCAATATACAGATTCAATGCTATTCCAATCAAAATTTCAATGTCATTCTTCAAAGAAATAGAACAATTATTGATGAAATTCATATGGAATCACAAAAACCCCGAATAGCCAAAGCTCTCCTGAAAAAAAAAGAAGGGAAAGGAGGCATCAGACTCCCAGACTTCAAACTATACTACAAAGCCATAATCATCAAAACTGCATGGTATTGGAACAAGAACAGACATACAGACCAATGGAATCGAATAGAAAATCCAGAAATAAACCCACAGATTTATGGTCAACTAATCTTTGACAAAGGAGCAAAGACTATGCATTGGAGCAAAGAAAGTTTGTTCAATAAATGGTGCTGGGGAAACTGGGTCGCTACATGCAAAAGAATGAAGCTTGACCACCACCTCACACCATACACAAAAATCAACTCAAAATGGATTAAGAACTAGACATAAGACCTGAAACCATAAAATATATAGAAGGAAATATAGGCAAAACACTACGTGATTTGCACATCAAAGACATCTTTACAGACACATCACCCAAAGCAGTGATAGTGAAGGCAAAGATAAACAGCTGGGACTATATCAAATTAAAGAGCTTTTGCACAGCAAAAGAGACAATAACAAAAACAAAGAGAAACCCCACCAACTGGGAGAACATTTTTGCACCCAACACTAATGATAAAGGACTGATCACAAAAATCTGCAAAGAGCTGATGAGACTCAACAACAACAAAGAAAATAATCCAGTCAAAAAATGGGCAGAAGAGCTTAAAAGAAACTTCTCTGAAGAGGAAATGCAAATGGCCAACAGGCATATGAAAAAATGTTCAACATCACTTGTCATCAGGGAAATGCAAATCAAAACTACCATGAGATACCATCTTACACCAGTGAGAATGGCACATATTAAAAAAACTAGCAACAACAAATGTTGGCGAGGGTGTGGAGAAAAAGGAACTCTTCTGCACTGTTGGTGGGAGTGCAAACTGGTCCAACCACTGTGGAAAGCTGTGTGGAGATTTCTGGACCTACTAAACATAGAGCTTCCATATGACCCAGCAATTCCACTCCTAGGTATTTACCCAAAGGACACAGAAACATCAATTCCAAAGAACACCTGCACCCCTATGTTTATAGCAGCACTGTTTACAATAGCTAAGCTTTGGAAACAACCCAAATGCCCAAAAATAGATGACTGGATCAAGAAGATGTGGTACATATATACCATGGAATATTACTCAGCATTCAAAAAAGATAAACACATGCAATTTGCTGCAACATGGATGGCGCTGGAAGGGATCATGCTCAGCGAAATAAGCCAAAAAGAAAAGAAAAATACCGGATGGTCTCACTCATAGCAGGAATCTAGAAAACTTAAATAATGGACCAGGAAAATAAATAACTATAAGAAAGTGAAAATCAAAATCAACAAAAAACTATGAACCAGAGACACTTTTAGGGGGGCGGGGGCGGGAGGGAGGGATTGGGGTCAGAATGGGGGGCTGCAATTGTATGGGGAATATAACAATAAAATTTATTAAAAAAAAAAAAAAAAAAAAAAAGAGCTAGATTATAAAATTAAGTGGGAATCCAGCTCACAAAGGACTATTCCAAGAGGGCACCTTTCTTTTCTTTTTTTCCACTTTGTGCTTCACCTTCAGAGTTAGTATCTTTTTATTGCAGAATCTAGGCGAATCAGACCTCTAAGAATTCTGGAAGGGATAATGAGGCAGCAGGAACGCTTGATCCTGGAGTCTGTGAGCACCAATATTGAGATGGAAATGGACTGACATGCTAAGCATTGTGAAGGACCAAGAGGCATTATAATTGACACTTAAGTTACTTACCAATGGTTTTTTGAGAGAGCTCTAAAAATAAATGAGAAAAGTTGTCAGTAGGTACTTTCAGGGTCTACAGACTATAGTTCACATATATGTGCTTTTCCTACTAAGAATTTGAACCAATAAACTTGGGATTGGCTGCAGTTGTTCTGTATGGTTATTGAGATTTTTGCAGGGATTCTAAGACAATCTAATACATCTAATGGCCTCCATATGTAGTAAATCCACTGAAAGGATAATTGGTAAAGTTACTGAGCAGAGGTCACCACCTTAGTCCATTTAAACCATTTTAGTAGATTTGGAAATATCCTTAATGAAAACTTATTTCCTTTTTCCATGATTTCACATTATCCCATCTTACTCTGTTTTCAAAAATTTGTTCTGTGTAATTAGTAATTTGTTGGAAACTTTCTACAAGGGTTCATCCTCCACTTCATAGTTTGTGTTTAGCAGAGGAATCCAGTACATTTACAGCATCATTAATGACATGCTAAAATACTAAGCAGAAGAAAACCAAAGGCCAAGAAAATGTGGACCCCAAACCCTTGAAATATCACCATGAAATCTAGGGATTTCTGCAGAATTACTGTAGAAAATTAAAATGTTTTATAGGTGTGACAGCAACTTACTTATAGGTCCTGTGGCTCCAGCTGAGGAGAGAAGAGGGAAAGAGGATGAGAATACTTCACCACTGTGAAGAAAATCCCTTTCCCCAACACTTCATCACAGAGGAGAACACTAGAAGGGGCCTCAGAGATGCAAACCGTAGAAGATCAGGCATGATAGCCTTTGAGCGGGCTTCCTGTTGCCTGTTGCACAATACAGGGACTCTATGTGAATGGGCCCCCCCACCCCTCCCCATTTTCAGTGATGGCTGATGCCTTTTAAGAGGATCAGGAAGGACTCCATACTGAGTTGTAATGCCTCTGGTTTTTTTTTTTTTTTTTAATTCTCTTTTTCCCTTTGCCCTCATTTCATTAGGGACTTAATGCTTGTTTAAAAATTAAACCTCCCCTTCATGACAGAGCATTATGGTTGCTACTGAACTGGTCTTTTTCTTTTCTATATTCTTTTGCTAAACCATGGGCTTGTAGTTTCTCTACTTTGTGCAGAACTTCTCTGGAAACTGTGTAATAACAGTTCTGGGGGAGCTGAGAAAACAAGGCATCAAAAACAGGGGATATCAGTCCTTAAGGCTCTGTAGGTCAGAAACCAAAGGAAACAGACTGAAAAAATAAATTTGATACTTACGGATAGGTGCTGAGAATTGCACTGAAATGCAAAGAGGAGGAAAATTAGTGGGTTTTATATTAACAAAATCCTCATGCTAACAATATTCTTTTCAAAGGGCCTGTGAAGCAAATCACCAGAGGGAAAACTATTATTGCAGGTAAATAGACAATTTCAGCATGGAAACTTCATGACCCTCCCACCAGATAAGTCATTCAACGTTCATCTTAAAGGAGAAATCTATGGCAGAGGGAAACAGGGAGAAGCTGGGCTGAAGGTTGTCCACTCCTCTACTCTTCCCTTGCTCCTCTCCCCATGCACCCCTCAGGTGCCTCAATTTATTGAAACTCTTTAGGGGCAAGGAGGCTGCTGATTCCTTTACCTTTTTTTCCATAATTTCCTCCTTTTGTTTTCATCATGTTTAATTTTATTTGCCATTACCTAGAACTACATGTTCTTCTTGTAACTCCATCCTCACTTTAAAAAAACACCTACAAATAGTGTTTTGGTTATTTTTATGATAACTCAGAATTTTTTTCTGATCTTTATTTTAATTATGCATTATTTGGCAATCTCTTGTCTTAAATTCAATGACATTAAAATTTAAGGCAGGGCCTCCCTGGAGGCACAAGGGGTTAAGTCTGAGCACTGTGAAGTTATTGGTAGCCACTGCAGCACAAGTTCAATCCCAAGCCAGGTTGCTAACCCACATGGAGCAGCAGACCTCTCCTGTCTTGCCCACTGCTCCCCTCAGCAGTGTATTTCAGTCGATCTGCCTGTTAGGTCTCTGGTGAATCATCTCACCCTTCCCACCCCTGGCCTCCACCCAAGCACTTGTATGCATATATAAATAAAATAAATCTGAAAAAATAATCAGGGCATTTTTCTCTGATGACTTGGGCATGGGGAGCTGTCAAGAGATTAAAATGCAATCAAGAAACATTAGTGGGAAATATCTGGGCTGTAGAAATGGAAACTGCTAGTGTGAGGAGAGATCCCAGATCCCATAGAAGGCCAAAGACACGCAAAATTAGGAAGGAGAAAAATAACTCACTTATAGGTCCAATAGCTCCAGCTAAAATATGGAAAAAATAAGACAAACTAATTAGAATGCTTCGCTAACAGAGGAAAACAGTTTGCATTGAAATTATTTCTGGGAAAATATAAAAAATGTAGGTACCAGAAGCAAATTTTTCACTTCATTGGAGCGACAAATAGTTTATTCTTTATTCCACAATCAGGTGACCCCAGTAACTACTGTGACCTGATAACTGGAGCTGCAGGGATGCAGTGGATGGGGATCCTGATTGTAACTAAGTTGATTGCACAGGCAATGCATTGCCTTTCTTCCAACTGGGCTAATTTAACTCACATTTATATGAGTTTATATATATATATATATATATATATATATATATACACGCTCACACTCTATATATATAATTATACATTATATATAATGTATAAATTACCTAAAAAAATAAATCTTTATCCACCTCCTTATTCATTAGTGGGAATAAAAAAGGCTGGCTTTACCTGCATGTGGAAATTTTTGCACAGCTATTTCACAAACTTCAAGCCTATGCAGAGGATTTTGCTGTCTTGCCTGCTAGAGCAGGGAAGGGTAGTTACCTTTAGAGTATGTCCACTGCACTGTTAGACTAAGTGACACATTCCTGTCCTTGGCTGTTCTAAGTTATTTGTAAAATGTTAAATTAACCCAGTTGGAAAAAAAAATACACTCAACAGTAGGTTGACCTATAATTTCCATTTAAGAGGGGGTAGAAATTCCTAGAGTTAAGATAGTCGTCTAGACAATTAGTGGTTGTACAGGATTGAGGCATTAGACCCACACACTTAACAGTAACAGCATTCTCCTTCACACACACCCACCCTCTATCCTCTTAGGCTACTTATGTGTAGGGGCAGGAAGGGCACAGTGCAGGTTTTCTGCCTCCTTCACAGGCAGACGGGTGAAGGAGGGAGAGTCCTGGAGTCCTCTGTGGCTTTTGCAGGCTTTTATTGGGATTTACCAGGTACATGGCAGGCAGGGATGCCAAGGGCCCGGCCCCCAACAAGTTTTCACTCTTTCTGGGCTTTTGGCATTCTCTCATGGTCTCTGCTGCTGTTCCTGTTGTTCCTCTGGCGTCCCCACGACGTCGCCTTTATAAGCCCAGTCTCTCAGTCCAGGTGTACCCACCTATGCATGCCCACACCCTGCTTACTCCAGGTGTCCGCCATCAGGCATGCATTCAAGACTGCAGGAGTCATCATTAATCCTAATGGCAGAAAAGCCTGATACTCATTTATCCTACAGTGTGCATTTGTGAAATCTTCCCAATGTTTACTCTTGTAGTTTGACTTTTGATAATTTTAATGTTTTTGTATATAAATGCTCGAGGAGGTATAGACAGAGGGTTTGATTTGCCAGGAGCCCTAGCCCTGAAATCATTCTTCCTCTTTCCCTCAGGGTTGGCCCTGCCCCAAGAACTCAAGCCCTGAACATCCTTAGCAGTGATAGAAATGTGTGAAGAAATCAATGAAACATTGGTAAGTGTCTTTCTTGTCACTGGCTTTAATGCTACTGTTTGTAGAACCTGTAGGGATGGAGGAGCTGATTAAACCTGAATCAAATACACTCAACTTTTCATTCTTGTCTAAGTGTAGAGAAGCAGATAGAATGCCAGAGATCCCAGATAGAGTGAGGATTTGCTAGGTGCTGGGAGGACTGCCAGCCTCCTGGCCCCCCAGCACCCCTGCCTGCCATATGCCTGGTAAACCCCAATAAAAGCCTGCAAAAAGCCACTGAGGACTCTGACTCCTCCTTTACCTGGTCTGCTGGATCATAGAAAACCTGCACTGTGTCCATTCCAGGTCTTTACAGGGGGTAATCCCCAATCCTCAGGGTTTGTCTACGGTCACTCCAACACTCGGCTTTCATAGCCACCAATGCGGCATGAAGACCCCTGCACTCAGGCCAACCCATTGCAAATGCACATGGGTTGGGGATCCATGGATACAAGCTCCACATGCAGTCTCTCTTGGGTACCCTCTTTGGCTTTGGGCTCCACCACAAGCCATGTTCCCCACCTCCTCACCCTCACTCTGCAATGAGCAGGGCATCAACCACAGGAGATTTTAAGAGACTCACTGGGCTTTAGCAAACTTAGGCTGCTTAACAGCCGCTCAGGTCTTCCCAATCTCGGCACCAGCTTTTGCCTTCCTAAGTTGGCTTGATCCACCCCCAGGTGGATTAACATTAACCTGCCAAGTTTCCTCTGCCTTCTGGCAGGATTGTCAGTCAAGTCCATCAGTTTTTTCCTTGGTGTCAGCACTTGGCAAACTCCAAATCATGGTCCTTTCTTCCCCAACGATTCTGCTGCCTCAGGGTCGTGGGCTGGTCCTCTTTGGCCATCTCCTCCTCCACTCGAGGTCTCATCCAGCAGCTCCCAGACCTTGTCTACCTCCTATGCTCCTGCAGTATCTTTAGCTCTTCCTGCAGCTCCTGGACTTTGGTCACCACCTGTGCTGCCATGGCACCTCCAGCGTTGTCACAGGCTCACGGTCTACTACTCCTGTCCCTCCTGAGGTCTTCAGAGGGCTCGACATTTGATTTGCATCAGATCATTTTGCCGACTTACACCAAATGTATGGGCAGGAAGGGCATGGGAGAGGATCTCTATGATTCTATGCAGATGGGTTAAGGAGTCCTGGAGTCCTCAGTGGCTTTTTTAGGCTTTTATTTCATTTACCAGGTACACGACAAGCAGGGGCCTGACAGCCTCCTGGCCGCCAGCAAGTCTTCTCTCCCTCTGGGCTCTCCAATGTTCTCACGGCCTTTGCATCTCTGCTCCTTTAGCTCTGCTGGTGTCCCCGTGATGCTGCCTGTCGAGGGCAGGAAGGAGCACAGTGCAGGTTTTTTGATCCAGCAGACCGGGTAAAGGAGGAGTCAGAGTCCGCAGTGGCTTTTGCAGGCTTTTATTTAGTTTTACCAGGTACATGGCAGGCAGGGGTACTGGGGGGCCAGGAGGCTGGCAGTCCTCCCAGCCCCCAGCAAATCCTCACTCTATATGGGCTCTCTGGCGTTCTCTCTGCTTCTCTTCTTCTCCTCTTGGCTTCCATTCGTTCGTGACTTCTTTTTCAGCTTCTGCTGGTGTCCCTGTGATGCTGCCCTTAAAAGCCCAGTCTTAGCCCAGGTGAATCCCATCTACCTATGCCCACACCCTACTCCAGGTGCCCACCATCAGGCATGCATTCAGGACTGCAGAGTTCCATCGTCTAGCCTAATGGCAGGAGGGCAGAAAAGCCTGATACTTTTACCTTACCCTACAGTCCACCCCCTCAGGGTTTTCTGCCAGACAGTCTATACAGGTCATATACATTTCTCTTGGCCATATGAACACTGCAGCCATGGCCCATGAAAGTAAATAGAATACAACTGAATATAACTGAATACATAAAATACAACAGAACACAAATAATTCCAGGCAGAGCACCAACCTAGTGGCAAAAGACAATTATTGGCACCAGCAGATGAGCCACCAAATCTGCTGCCGAAGGCACTGCTCATTCAAGGGAGGGGAACCACTCATGGCATCTACTGTCACACACCAGGAGCCATCAGGCTTCCTCACCTTCTCTGGCTGTGGTCTCGGCTACAAGCCACACACCGCATCTACCCCCAGGATGCACTCACTCTGGGACTGGCGATTCTATTCTACTGTTGGGGGTAATCACCAACTGTAAGGGCAGGACAGGACACAGTGCAGGTTTTCTGATCCCATGCAGACCGGGTAAAGGAGGAGTCAGAGTCCTCAGTGGTTTTGCAGGTTTTTTATTGGGGTTCACCAGGCATATGGCAGGCAGGGGTGCTGGCTGGGGGTCTGGGAGGCTGGCAGGCCTCCCAGCCCCCAGCAAGTCTTCACTCTTTCTGGGCTCTCTGGCGTTCGTTCTGCTGCTTCTCAGCTTCTCTTTTGGCTTCTGCTTGGCTTCTGCTGCTGCTTCTCCTGGCATCCACGTGATGCTGCCCTTAAAAACACAGTCTTGGCTCAGCTGAATCCCATCTACCTATGCCCACACCCTATTCCAGGTGCCCACCATCAGGCATGCATTCAGGAAAAGGATCCATCATCTATCCTGATGGCGGAAGGGCAGAAAAGCCTGATATTTTTTTTACCCTACAGTCCACCCCCTCAGGGTTTTCTGCCATACAGTCTATACATATATATACAATTTTCTAAGCAAACAAACAATGCAGCCATGGCCCACAAAAGCAAATACATCAAATAAATATAACAAAATACAACAGAACACAAATAAGTCCAGGCAGGGCACCAACCTAGTGCAAAAGACAATTATTGGTACCAGCAGATGAGCCACCAAATCTGCTGCCGAAGGCACTGCTCATACGAGGGAGGGGAACCACTCAGGACATCTATTGCAACATGCCAGGAGCCGTCAGGCTTCCTGGCCTTCTCTGGCTGTAGTCTCGGCTACAAGCCACACACAGCATCCACCCCCAGGATGCACTAGCTCTGGGATTGGCGATTTTATTCTGTTGGGGGTAATCGCCAACCCTCAGGGTTTCTGTCTGCAGTCGCTCCAACACTCAGCCTTCATAGCCACCAATGCGACTTGCAGAACCCTGCACTCAGGCCAACCCACTGCACAAGCACATGGGTCGGGGATCCAAACTCTGCATTCGGCTTGGGCTCCACCCCAAGCCACATTCCCCACCCGTCCCCCAAGGACGGGTTCCTCAGCTCCTCACCCTCACTCAAGAATGAGCAGGGCATCACCCACAGGTGATTTTACGAGACTCACAGGGCTTCAGCATACCCAGGCTGCTTAACAGCCGCTTAGGGCTTCTCAACTTAGCATCAGCACCAGCTTTTGCCTTCTTAGTTGGCTTTTCTCCTCCACCTGGCTGCTGGGCATGCACAGGCTGCTTTTGGCCATCTAGGCCCAATGGCCACCCCCAGACTCTCAAAAAAAAAAACCATAACCTGCCAAGGTCCTCTGCCTTCTGGCGGGATTGTCAGTCCAAGTTTATCAGTCCATGTCCATCAGTTGAAG